CGGCGCCTCTCGCAGCGGCCCGAGAGCTTCCGCTCCGCTGCGGGGATGGCGACCGCTGTATTTCTCCCCCCTCCCCAGGGTGCGGAGGATTCCCCCGACTGCTGCATCCTGATCCTCAGGCTTCTGCCTGCAGCCTTCCACGCGTCGGGAGCGGCTCTAGTTGCCCTGGTTGTCGGAAGCGCCCATAGAAAACCCTCCTAACGAAAATTTGGTCACCGTCTGCTTGACCAAACCAGCGTGTGTTTTGTTTTTTTTTCCACTCGTAAAAATGAAAGGGGGCGTCGATGTGCTGCTGGACTAAATTACTCTCTTCGGCCTCTGGCCGCCAGGCCGCTGTTTTCCTCCCGCTTTGTAGCGTGGCGTGCCGGTTCCGATGCGCTCGTCTGTCAGAAAAGCTGTACCTGCAGCCGCGCTCGAGCTCTGTTAAGGCGCTGCAGCGTAACGGTGTTGGTATGCGCCCGTATGGCAGGCGTGAAATTCCTGTCCTGGTCTTATTTGCTATCGAAAAAGCAAGCAGAACTCTCCAGAAGGTGTTGAAGTTGGAGGCGCTATTGGAAATTTTATAGTTAGATTATTTTTTCTGTTACAGGGTAGAGCTCAGAAAAGACAGTAAGTATATTGTAATGCTAAGTGTATATTTTCAGAAACGAAATGAAGGGTAAGCATGTTACAATTTTATAGTAGAATGTTTTGCTGCACATCAGGTACGCTTGAGTACTTTACTATTTCTCCCTTCCGTGAGCTGATGTTGGTTACACAGGACTGTGGAAAGAATTGGTGTTAGCTACGAGCTGGGAATAATAATCTTTCTTCCAGGAGAATTCTTATATTTCAGTTACGCATGTGTAGCCCGTAACAGTTTTCTTGCCCTTCAGAATTGCATTCAGTTTTACCAGTAAGGTAACTAAACTCCGTGTGGCTTTCATTCATCATTCCATGTGAATTACACTTAATGTGTGAGAGTGTTACTGGCATTCCTAAACCAGGGTAGTTTTGAAGGGGTCGTGAGATGATAATTAATTCAATAAAAGCTTGTGGTTCAAAAAAAATATTAAATACGTACTTTTGAAATGACTAACTACATTCACAGAAATGGCTTAATTAAATGAATTTATGTTGCTTATGTGTATGCTCTCTGTAACATGTGTTTTCTCTTATCGGAACTATTTCAAATACTGTGTTGGCAGCAGTCTGAGTTAACCTTAGAGTACAACTTTAAATAGGTGGTCTATAAAATCTTAGGTAGGTGTAACTGTATCAGCTGTAAAGCAGGTTATAGTGCCTAGACTAGGGGGTTGCATGAACAGAGACACAGCCACGTAGCTAGCTCATAGTGTAACTTTTCAGACTGTTTTTCACACTATTACCCATCCCATGGCCCAGTGAAACCGATATAAAGGCAAGAATGGAGATCCAGAAGGGTAAAACAGTAGTGACCACTTCTGTCCGTGGTGGTGTCTTGAATGGGTTTGAGTAGTGGCTGAAATCAATTAGGTGACTCCCTGTAATTAGGGGTAAAGAGGAATGAATGCAAGCAGGTTTGTTTTAATGCTTTCCTTTGCTGTTTTGGTGTCTTTTTCTTCGATGTAAGTTCTCCACATCAAGATAAAGGCATTCAGGGCATATGTTTTATAGGAATTGCATATTAATATGTTTCTATTCCAATACGTAACTACCTTGGTGTTTTTTTTTACTTACAGAGTCAACTGTTCATTTTACTTCAAAATCGGAGCTTGTCGTCATGGAGACAGATGTTCTCGGTTGCACAACAAACCAACATTTAGCCAGGTTTGTTTTCCTTTTGTTTTCTCTTTCTTGTGGAAGTATGTTCTTGCTTCTTTAAAACGTAGATTCTCAGATACAAGGGAATAATTACCAAGCTCCAGATTAACTAGTTCACTTTTGGCCCCAGTTTATATGGGTTTTTGCTGTTTGGGGGTATTCCATTTACTTCTCCCAGCATTTCTAATTATCTCCTGTCACCCTTAATGGCTGCAGGAAGCGATGCTGTTGTAAGCTTGCCTGTAGTAGAGACCAACCAGTGCTAACTTTCAGGTGAGTGTGCCTTCTCAGTGGTGTTTAGGCACTTAAACCATCCCAGATTCTTTTAATCACAAAAAATGGCAGCACGTTCCACCTATCCCAAGGGTGTGAACCAAAGTCCTTTGCGCATATAATAGAAGAAAACTAATTAATAAATAAAAGTGACTCTTCTGTCATTATATTTGCTCTCTGACCCAGGCTCTTAAGTTTCAAGAGTAACTTACATGCTTGCTTCAAATGTGAAAGAATTGTTTCTTGAAAGCAACTTGCCTGGCTGTTGAGGGTGTATACATCAGTTGGCTTGACAGTTTATTTTAATCTCTGGCTTTGTGAATATTGTTGGAGACATGATGTGTGCTGCATGTCTGCCAAAAAAAAATTTAAAAAGTGCAGTGGGTGATAGGATTTTTATGAGTATTATGAACTCTACAGTTTTCAAAAGCGACATTCCTGGAGAACTGTATGCTTTGCCTTTTTCTATCACTGCTGATTGTCAAGGTATACAGGTAAATGGATTTCTTTGGGAGTGTTGTATATGATAAGTAGTCCCTCTGGATGTTGTTTCATTATCAGCAGTTTTACCTACAAAGGTAAAGTTTATGTAGCAGCGGAGTCCTCTGCAAGCTCATTTTAGCTGACTTTGAGCAGGATTGATGAGAATGGTGGACTGGTGCTGGCTTGGGGAGAGTTAGGGAGGCAGGTCCTATCCACGGACTTGGAGTTCAGAGCGACGGTGCACGCGAAGTTAGACTTTGTGAGTGTGTGAGAGGGCAGGGTAGTTCTAGGGGGGCTGTCTAGGTTACTGACCAATGGGGACCACTGCTGGTGCTTCATCTACAAAAACAGTTTTCCACTTTTTGGAATTTAATAATTTTTAGTGTAACTGTATTTCAAAAAGAATATTGTCCATTTTTAGAGCTACTTCATGTTACTGACCTACATGGAAAGTGTGCTGAAATGTGATTGGTTATTTAGAGACCTGAATATAGGTCATTGGCTGCTAGAAATTATTTCTACATTGGACAACTTCCACAGTAGTTTAAAAAAAAATAACAACAACAACAAAAAGCCAAACCCTAAAAAAACAAACTATATAGTCTTCTACAAAAAGACTTTGTGTGCAGCAATGGTTTCCCCTGTGAACGCAGTCTTTAGCTTGGTTTTAGGAACTGCAGTTAGCGATGCCAGCTGAAGTGGGTCAGCGGGGCATGTCAGATTCATCCAGAGATGTTGGGGACTGCTGCAAAATTGCATCTGGCCGTCGTGCCGTATTGTAACAAACATGCCTGGCAGCTGTGTAGGGTTCATTAGATATCTGTATGCAAATTGATAATCAGCTGTGATAGAAAATAAAAGAAAAGATATGTTCCTAACAGGAAGTTACTGGCACAATATTTTTATCTTGTGCTGCTGTTGCTGGTGCAGCTACTTCATGGAAGAGCTGTGGTAGGAAAGGTCGTGCAATCCAGGGTGATCAAATTACCAGCAATCAGCAGAAACACAGTAACCGTATGCATGTTTCTGGCTCTCTCCAGTTGTAGGCTAAAAGATAGTTATTATAAGCCTGGGCCACAGAAGCACAAAGCTTTGGTTGGTATGACCAGACCCATTATAAAACAAGTGTGTGACTTAAATGTGATGTTACAGATTTTTTTTGTTTACATGTTAAGTGGGCAGCATATGTAGGTGTGACATAGCTGGTGCTGTGACTTCTTTAAGCTCTGAATTCTTACTGTGACTAGTAATAATGCATAAGCTAAAATTATTTGGGGATTGTGATTCATACTAACTTTGAGCTTGTATTTTAAAGTAATCAAATTTCAATTTTTGAGCTGCTTACAGTGATATGGACGTTTGGAATTTTTTTGTAATATTAGTTTACTAACTTAAACATGGTTTGTTTTTTCAGACAACTTGATTTTAAGAAGAACGGTACAAATGTAAGGTTTCAAGTCTGCCTGGGCTAATTCTTCAAGTAAAAAGCAGAAGGGCTAAAAGGATATTGTCCTTATTTGAAGGATCGGAAACATGTGAACCTATGATGCTATTATATTATTTAAACAGAAATTCCACCAAGAAATTCCTGATGCACAAAATGACATGCAGCTCTTGCCTAAAAACCGTACTGTCTGGTGTAACATTTTAGGCTCTGTGGCATTACGTATTACATGCTGTGCACATAACACTTTTTTTTTTCCTCCACCTGGACTTACAGTAATGAATCTGGTCTCGAAAGCTAGGCGTCTCCCTCATATCATGTAGTTTGACAGTTAGGTTACCGTGCCTCACAACTCCCATATTGAGGATAGCTGTTGAAACAAATGCAGCTCTTTCTTGGTGGTTAATTAAAACTGTTTTCATAATATGATGGTCTGGATGCAATTTCGGAAGATACTCTGCAAATACAAAAAGAAGTCTTAAGAATAAAATATTACTTTTAGCTGTTTGCAAACAAGTTGTCTCTTTGCAATTGTCTATTATATGCACAGCAGCCAGTAGAATTCCCCTTTTTATTTTTTTTCCCCGCAGACCATCTTGATTCAAAACATCTATCGTAACCCCCAAAACAGTGCACAGACGGCTGACGGCTCACACTGTAAGTCCCACAGTTGGAGAAATTTTTTTAAAGAATGGTGTTAAAGAGCCCACTCCTAATTATGAGAAAATAATGTTGGCTTCTGAGCTGCTGACATAAAGCTGTTGCAAACAGGACAAGTGACGGAACTCTTCTTGCGCATAGATCAAGAACTTGTCAAATGTGTGCAATTCAGAGTGCAGAACTGACTGCATAAATTGGACTTGATGCAGCTTCTGTTTTGCACTGCAGAGTGAAACTTGATTGCTTAGTAACACTGCATTCTTCTTAAAGGGTTAAACTGCAGACATTTCTCAAATTCTTGATTTAACAAAAAAAATAATAGGTGTATATATATGATGTACGGTAAGTTTCCCAAAACTGTGGGTTTTCTTTTGTCTTAACTTTTTTTAGGAAAATGGAGATTTCATGTTATTCTGTAATTATTGTATTAGTTCCCTTCCTGGGGTTTTGCTATAAAGAAGCCATTATTCAGTAAAACCAAATTCAAACAAATTATTATGCTCCTAACTTGAATCCTGTGTTTGGATGCCATCTATTACATATCTGCCTGAAATCATGCAAAACCCCTCTACAGTAATATTGGTGAATAAGATTTTAAAAAAAATGCAATAATGGAGTATCATGAGATCTCTATTACTTTGCAGTGTTAGGTTGATTCAGGAAGGTCACCAGCTAAGTGAAAGTTCTCCTTCTTGGGAGAGAATAACCACCTCTCTTTCAGCACAGACTCGGCTAAAGCGACCCTAAAGGAAACCAGTTTCTTGTTAAAATTATTTTCCATAATATAAAGTTGTTGCGTTTTGTATTTCAGACCATTGCCCTCTTGAACATTTACCGTAACCCTCAAAACTCTTCCCAGTCTGCTGACGGTTTGCGCTGTAAGTTCATACAAGTTCCTTCACTGGTTCCCTGGGCTTGACTGTCAGAGCTCAGTGTCGACTTAAGCTGGTCTGCCATTTTAGTTTAAAAGATCAAACTGACCACGTTCCATTAAATGTGTCCAAAACAAACGCACACACAAAAAAAATCCCCACAAACCTTTTTTTGTCCCACTCGCCTTCCTGCCTACTCCCAAAACTATGAGGGGAATCTGACTACCATCTATTAAATCAAAAAGGGTTGAAATTGTACTTCCCCTGGAAAGCAGTCTTGGTTGCACTGCTTTCGTCCCTCCGCCTCTCTTCCTGCCAGTTGCCTGCATCCTAGGAATGCTTTTCTGTATGCTTTGTGCTGTCCGTTAGGTTCTGCTGTCTGAAAGAGCAGGACAATGACACGTTGACTTCATCCAGAACAAATTTCCTGCTCTGTAAATGTTAAGAGAACTTGAATTTTAAACTTTTCAGACTGCATGCAGAAATTTGTCCTAGGTTAATGCAGCTGCCGTTTAGAGTCTACTTTGGAAGAATGCACTTTGACTGACAAACGCTTCCCTTCTGGCAGCTGTCCTTTTTGGATAGGTGCATGCTTAAAATTCCTTCCATGCTTTGAAAATTCAAATTCCGAAACCAAGTTGCATATTTACCTAGGAAAATATATCTTTAGAAGTACTTTTGAGGAAGAGAAGGCATTTGGGTATGGTCATAAACTAATTTAATGACTCATGAGGTAGGAATGGGCATAAGAAAACATACTTACTATGAGACTGGCAGAAGTTAAATGACCAGGGTTGTTGATCGGTGATAACTGATATATCATTGTGATTCAATCATCAATATTAGAATAAGAATTAAAAAAAAAAAAAAAAAGTTTTAGGACCAAAAAGGACGGTGTTATTTTCTAACTAATATTTCTTGTTGAAGTGAACATTGACTGTGTGGTAATAAAGCTTTGTTTGGCTGTTCCTTTTTTTGACTGTTGGATTATAGACTAGTTCAGATTAGTTACCAGCATTTGATTAGACGTGCTTTGTGAAATTAGCCACTGACTTAAAAGTCAACACTGTCTATTTTGCTTCTAAAAGTAATAATGACCCAATTAAGTACTTTGAGTCACGCAATCCAGCTAGATACGTAATGAGCTATGAAAGTTTGTCTAGATGCTTAAAACAGTTCTATTGGTTTGTAGGCTTTCTTGTTGCAGATGCGTAGTAGTTAATGATGTTTTGGTAAACAAAAAAAACATACAGTTGAGTGTTTCCACTCTGTCCCTACATTCTCAGCGCGCTGGTAACTAATTTGTACAGAGTTACAGCAGTTTGGTCTGTTTAGATTGTACAGCTGCAAGAGCCTTAAACAGATTCTCTAGCGTTCAAAGTGCTGGTATCCAACTAGTTTGTCTTGAGAAGCCGGTAGCTACTTAACAGAGCTTAACTGTACCTTCTGTGGTAGAGCTGGAGCTCTGTTATCAGTAAGTTTGCTGAAATTCCTGGCTCCCTGGTTTTTCGATACTTGTCCCTACTTAAGTACTGCATGTATTTTAAATGGATGACTTGGGTAGCTATTTAATGCTTTTGTTGTTGTTGCTTAACTGTCTTCCTTTCTATTGCCGTCGTAGAGGATTAACCTTAGTTTTGAACAGCAATAGTTTTCCTGAGTATTTTGATTATTAATTGGGCTTCTCAAGGTTCAGATACCGGTAGCCCTGGAATATGAACGTTTGTAAAGCCTATCCATATGTATGCTTCCCACTTTAGAAGGACATTCAAATAATCATTAACTAGCTGTTGTTTATGATCTTCCAATTTGACAATCAAATCTCCTCATGAGTTTTTAGTACTTGTCCATCTGGTAAAAAGTAGTTATTCCCAGAGTGTCTCACAGAGCTCCTGTCTGATATCTTTTAAAATAAAATAAAAAAAAATCCGTAAGCATTAGTAAGCTGTTACCAGTGCTGTTGGCAACCTTGGGGATATAGTTCAGTATTGAAACTGTCTAGAAATACTGGTTTACTGTTTGATATTCCTTAATTTGCCATATAACCGTGGGGAAGAAGAAAGTTCTTAAAAGCAAACGTTTCAAATGCAGAAGCGTTGTTAGCCTAAACTGTATGAGAAATGCCGCTTAGCCCTCTTCAGGAGGTGAGCTGGGTGAAAGAAAATTAATCATCCAGAGAGTGTGTCTGGTTAATATTAGAGCCTTTGAAGAAAAATGTGAAGTTTGTCCAAATGGTAATATTAGCCAAAAATGACCGAGCCTAAAGTTTTTCTTTTTTTCATAGCAGTCTGAAGTAAATAAACTCAGCTTGGTGGCTCAGTTTCTTGTCTTTCACGCTCATGAATTGAAACAGTAGTGTTTGTAATTTAAAGGTTGGAATATTTTTCTAGCATAAAATGCAGGGTTCATTTAAAAACTACTCTGCTTGATCTTAAGAAACCACTTAACTGCTGAAGAGCTAATACCTTAGGCTTTAATCTATACAGCTTAATGTAGTTTAAAATGCTGTAGACTGGAAGAAATAAATGAAAAATATTTTTATATTCTTTGAAACATCAGCCAAACTTACGTTGTTCGTTATAGCAGTAGGCAAGCAGCGCTCATTTGTAAAGTCCAGCTTGGAGCATGAAGAGAATCTAACTTCAATATATGGCTGGCTTGTCTTGCACTAAAAGATGTTCTGCAGGACTACAGAAAAATGAAGTGATACTCAAAATTAAACTAGACAATTCTTCTCTTTTGCAAAATGTTATGGTACTCTTCTTTGAGGGCACTGAGAAAAGTGTGTCATTCCAGTAACTATTTTGAGCAAATTTTTAGAAGGATTCTGGCTGTGTTACATTATGAACTCTCAAATTCTAGTGTATGTGCTGGAGAGGTGGACGTGTTAAAATGAAATCTGCCTGTAGGAATAGGAACACTAAATTGTAATCATGCTTTAAAATATGCAAATGTAACAAAGCACTTGCCTTCTGTTTAGGTAAAATTGTTGGTAGATAGAGGGTGGGACTGTATGTTAAATTTAAGTGATACTTCAAAGTAATTCCTTTCCCCTTCCTTTAAATTTGTGGCATACAAGTTTGGCTCTGATTAAAACTTGGTTTGATTTGATCATGTCAATGTAATGTTTTGACATATACTTTGGGGACTGCAAGCTTTTCATACATATTTATTTTTAATATTCCTATTAGTTAGCTCTATGCTATATTGTGTCTTTTATGCTCCAGACGGCCTCTCTAGTTTGTTTTGTAGTATGATCAAAATTTCCTCTTCCTTATTTATAGTCTCTAATCGATATGACTCTTGATTTTTACAGGTGCTGTGAGCGATGTTGAGATGCAGGAACATTATGATGAATTCTTTGAGGTATGTGAAAGATGTAAAAAGGCATTAAAGTGTTAGTGGATTTGCTGACACAAATGAGTTGCGTGCATGCAGTGTATAGCACAGTTAGATGGATTCAGAGAAAAATGCTCGTTTCCTCATGTGTTCGTATAAAACTTACAACTTTCAGTGCTAAATATTTTCTGGTATAACCTGTGGTTAGCTTGGCTTTAACTTTACTGTTTATAATAGACTTTGTTTAAAAATCAGCAACTTAAATGATGTAGCATTTTGATTCCATAATCCTCTTCTTTCTTGTAAATTTGAAACAAAATTGTTTATATAGAAGCAAATTAAGTAAAACTATAGCATTGAGACTTATGTGTAGGGTTTTCAGTATATCTTATGTGTTCTGTAAATACTGTATGCGTATTGTTTTCCGTAGCTTTTTACTGTATCCTGTTAGTGCTGTACTTGCAGATGGACACAGTACGGGCCAAGCAAGTACTAATTTTAAAATCAGAAAAAAAAAAGAAAAAGGGGGGGGTTGTTTTGCCTTTTTTAAGGAAGGACTCTCTTTGTACTTACTAACAGCTAAATGCAGTGCTTCTGTACTTGTAACTAATGTGCTGCAAACTTTTAATTGGTTGCTTTGTGCTTAGGAGGTCTTCACAGAAATGGAAGAAAAGTATGGTGAAGTTGAGGAGATGAACGTTTGTGATAACCTTGGAGATCATCTAGTTGGAAATGTATATGTAAAGGTAGGATAGAGAGATGTGGTTATGTAATCAATAGGGGTGCTATTTATTGATTCATAATTTTAAAAGCTGCTGTATGCTTGTAGATTTTTGTGAGAGTAGCTCTTCAGGGTATAAGCTTCTTTCCAACTTCACAGTATAAAATAGAAAGAGTGAAAACGTGATTGTAGTCTGAAAGAAATTTTAAGAGATAGTGAGAAGCTTTCTTGATAGTCAAAATCTGTGTCACTTTCATAAAGATTAACGCTCTTTTTTTTACATTGTTATAAACAGTCACCACTGCTGGACTGTCTAGTTTGCCAGAATTAATTTGGGGTCTGTCTTCCCATCACAATTCTTTTTAAGCACTTCATTATGAGCAGAGGTTTATTCACAACAGGTGTGTTTCTTTTCAACAGATGCATTTATTTCCTAACTTCCCATTTAAACAAAACATCTTGTAACCAAGTTGTGTTTGGCAGTAGCTTGATGGTTTAAGGTGCAAACTGGAGCACTTAGGTTTAGCTCTTAGAATTCATTGCTATCTCTTGAATAATGAGTACAGAGTTTTTACCTGCAGAAGGCTTACTGTGTGTACACAGTGTTGGGGAGGTGTGAGAGTTTGAATATTTTTACCGTATATTCCCTTAACTGGAAAGTATTGTCACACTTAAAATTCTCAGCTGCGTAGGTCATAATCAGAAATAGAAGTGGTTTTTTTTTTTAAGAAAAGTGGAAAGCTGTGAAAAGGAGTTTCAAGTTTAAGTTTTACATTCATCATAAAACAGGATCAGATGTTTGTAAATTCTAGTTTAAATGAATGAGAGCTTCAGATCTCATGCAGGTTTCTCTTTAAATGTTTCAAAAAATCTATTACATCTGGAGCGTTAGTGTTCTAGAAAGTACTCTTAAGCATTCTCTTTGTTTGAAGTTGTACTAACAGTGACTTCTATCATGTCTTAATACAAGCCACAAAACTTGAAAGGCAAAATGGAACATAACAAAGAGAAAATATCAATGTTCTGATTAGTTCTGAGTCCTGATTAACGACAAGCTAGCACCTTTACCCTTGAGTTGATGGGCTGTCCCAGGAACTCTAAAGTAACTTCTAGTTTGATTCCTAGCCCTAAGCCTTAGATATCACACAACTGATTTGATAGGAGTCTTTGATGTGCTTCTGTTGCGTCTATATAACATGAGAAAATGTTAATTTTGCTTTCAGTTTCGCCGTGAAGAAGATGCAGAAAAGGCTGTGATTGACCTGAACAATCGCTGGTTTAATGGGCAGCCCATTCATGCTGAGCTTTCACCTGTGACTGACTTCAGAGAGGCCTGTTGCCGTCAGTATGAAATGGGGTAAAAAATGACTTCTTGTTTGCTTATGAACAGTATCTTTGAAATGCTTGCCCAGGCAGGGTTGTTGCTCGGGTGTGGCTTTTAGGTGTAGCTTGGTGTAGGAAGAAGAGCGCTTTGGGTAATGTTAATATTGAGGACCTGCAGTCAGCATCTTCACTTTTGCCATTGTTTTAAGATTTTGATCTAGGAGTGAGACATTGTCAGTAAATGATGCGTGCAATTCACTGGTTTTAATGTTAGAGGTGATTAACTTCTAGATGGCTGGAGGCCCACTAGGGCTTAGGGCAAACAGATAAAGTGTAGAACTGGGAGCTTCAACTGTGTCTCTTGCATTCTGTTTCAGAGAGTGTACACGAGGAGGTTTCTGCAACTTTATGCATTTGAAGCCCATTTCTCGAGAGTTAAGACGCGAGTTGTATGGGCGTCGTCGTAAAAAGTAAGTTTGCTTTTAAACTAAGCATCAGTTGCTAAAAATTCTGAAGGCAGACCTTTAAACTTAAGTTCTCTCTTGTTTTTTCTAATGCAGTTCTGACATGTGCCAATGAAAGGGCATCAAGTAAAGCTAGCAAGTGGCCAGTTTAGAACAAAGGAACAGGTCTTTATTTTCTTTTTTTTTTTTAAAAAAGAGTTATGATGCTTCTTGCTCTGCAGTGCTGTGGATGCTGAAGGTTTATGTGGCTTGAAGAGAAGGCAGGCTTCAGGGAGAAGAATATGCACTCAGTTACCAATTGCATTGGGCATACCTGTGGTTCAGATCTCCAAACTGCAAAGTGTTACAGGCGGACATTATTTGGGAGTATTGCTTTGTGCCTGTTCTCTGTTTTAGTGTCTTCTAAACATATTTGCTCATGGCCTCTGTTAGGAGCACGCTGTTTGGCTAATGGGCGTTTTGGCAGGATCAGATTGGCCACTTTCAGCATTATGCACAATCAGGCATATCTATATATTATATTCAATACCCAACCTTATTTGTTTTTAGCAGTTAATGGCTAACTTTTCTAGCCTGTATTCATTCCTTAGGGTTAGTAACAAGCAATCACTATATTGAGCTCAGTTTTTATTAACGTTAGCCTCACAATGTGACCCTTCTTGATAGGAGCTGTCAATAGGGCAAAGGAGTAGTAATTTTGTTTAATGGCCAGAAAAAAAAGATTGTGATAAAATAATTTGATTTTATATTTTTATTAAATTATTTATTTAAGTACCTTGTAGAAAGGCTTATACCACTGCTTTTACTGTGATACCTGTATTGTGGATGGTTCCCTTCAAGTTCGGTTCAGTCTGCTTGCTTTTAGGACCCTGCTATTTAGGACAAGCATATAAAACTTTGAGCTTTCATTTATATAGAGCACAATTTTGTAGATTTCCTTCAGTCACAGAAGGAGCATGGGGTTGCGAACGTGTTTTTCCTATAAATGTCTCTAATTGGTAGTGTCTTAGAATTTGTGAGGATAATTTTAGCATTGGAAAATGTAGATTGTGTTGCTTAGGTGCATGTATTTGTACCTAAACACTTTCCTAAATTATCCCAATTAATAGTAATTGAAACTTAAATGTAAGCTTTTAAGATGTTTGAATGATTTATGAAAAAGATGAAATATGCTCTTGTATTAGCCTTTTAGTCACTTTTATGAATCTGAATCTGGATCTCTTAGATTTTGTAAGGCTAATTAAACAGTATCACCTTTTATTGCAAGAAAGATCAGACTTGTGTGTTTGGCTTTGGAATACGATTGTTTTACCTATAGCCCGGTTTCAGTCTGTGGTAAAACAAATTAAATAGCTGAATCCTCCATTCAGTTTTGTCTTTATTGGCCCTATTTAAATTCTTTGTGCAGCTAAAGCTGTCACAGGTTGGCAATAAGGCTTGATATATTTAAAAAAAAAAAAAATCAGTTCCTGTGTTAGTGGGTTTTACAGGCAGATTGTATAAACTGGACTGACCTGACAGTAGTTCTACACAGAAGGAAATCTATCGAAGTTTTTTGAGTAGAAAAAAGGAGGGTAAACAGAATAGGTTAATTTAGTAATTCTGGACGGCTCGGTGGTATGTAAGAGTAATGTGTGTGCCTCTGTCATAGCAAAATTTGTCACCCCACACACTGCCACCCCAAACCATCTCACTATGGAACAATATTCTGCAAACTTAAGACTTGTAGCATTCGTTTCCCTGAGCTTTTTAGTTCTGCTGTAATTTCTGCACCTATTTAAAACTGTACTGTTTACCTATTTTAGAAAATTGACTTCTCTAAAATGCTTATAAACTTCCAAACCACCCTTTCCTTGACAAGTGCTGTATAAGCTATAAATCCATAGTAGCTGTGTTAGCACATTCTTGGGTGGTTTTAGCTTTCTTCCTGACTTTAAGTCATCAGCCTCAGAGGCAGGGAAGATTATTTGCAAATGCTGATAGCTTTGGGCGTGGGAAGGGAAGGGAAAAAAAAACCAACAAAAAAGAGAACTGAGTTGTAATTGCTGATAAATGCAGTTGATTTAATAGGAGTGGACTTACAAACGGGTGTCGGCTTTTGCTGTGTGCTTTTAAGAGCTATTCATAACTGCAAAAGCAGGTGTCCCCTTCTCTTGCTGCTTTAATTAACAGCCGTGTAACAGCGCATTTGGTTCCTATACACGCCTTTCCTGAAGTCTTGCACACCCATTGTGATGGGTGACTGGCCATGAACAGTTGAGTCTTTTAACAGTATGTGTTGACTCCTCAGTATTAAGCTTGTTCAGTTTGTAAATACACGGTTTGCAGCCTGAGAGCTGATTTGGCAGTCCCGCCAATGGCACATTGTCTGTCTTCTCCCTCATTACTTACATCCTTAAGTGTTCTGCTGTGTGGTACTGCAAGTAAATTGCTAAATGTTGATGGAACAATAAAATGTTCAAACTTTCTTTGAAGGCATAGATCCAGGTCGAGGTCCCGTGAACGTCGGTCTAGATCCAGAGATCGTGGTCGTGGAGGCGGTGGTGGTGGAGGAGGAGGACGTGAACGTGATAGGAGGCGGTCAAGAGATCGTGAAAGATCTGGTCGATTCTGAGCCATGCCATTTTTACTGTATGTCTGCTAGAAAGTGTTGTAGTTTGACCAAACAAGTTCATAATGAGATTTTTTTTAAAGATGGGCTTCTGAATAAAAAATTTGTAGTGATACAGTATTCTTTGTGTAACTTGTTTCTTGTGGGGGGAGTCTTTTTAACTGTCATTCCTCTATCTTGACAAATACCTGGATTAACTATGCCTGAGGGAAGGTGGTAAATGTATTGGAGGAGCGCCAGTTTTGGTTTTGTTTTTTTTTTTTATTTGGGTATAATTTGAACTGTTGATGAAAATGTGTGTGTATATAATATAAAATATTATATACATAGTAAAAATAATATACTGCTTAAGAAACAGTTACTCACATAAGTTTCCCTTTTCTGCTATGCTGTCTGCTTATTTAGGTTAGTTTAGGCACATTTAAAAGGAAGGCTGTGCAAAATGCATTTATTTACCAAGTAGAAACGCTTAGTTACAAAAATGTATGTTTGTTTGTTACCAGAAGTCTGTGCTCTGTCTATCAATGTGACTGTGGCATTTACAATAAATCCAATTTCTTGGTGTAAAATCTAAAGCCTATTTTCTAAGCACTCTGGAGTAGTTGAGTCGCTGCTCCTGGCTGTGCCAGAGTTCATAGTTCAATTTTTTATGATTCTTGACTAAATTCCTTGTCTTTGGCTGGTGCAGTTTGGGAAGGGGTATTTTTATTGCAGTGATTCATAATAGGCAGGTGAGATTTTTTAAAAAAAACTCATGCTCCGTGCAACATGATACATAGAACCTATTGAAGAAAATGCAAGGTCCTGAATGCAAGGACTAAATTTCTCAACAGACTGATTTTTTTTATATCCCCCCCCCCTCCCCCTGCTCTATGTTCTCTTAGCTGTCATTTAATGAAAAGCATTTCGTTAGCGTTTAAGGTCATAGGAAACTGATTGGATGCTACTGGAAAATAATTTTTTTCCACCTTTACTTGCTTTCTGCTAGTGTGAAGTGCGATAAAAGCTAATGGACAGATGGCAGTTTCTTCACAAATTTTACCTTTCTGTTTAATTGCATTGCACAATAGCTATATATCATTGCTTGCGTATCTCAAGGAGTTAAAGCTCTGATTGAAATGTTGCTGGAACATCTTGAGAGAGTTTGTGCAACGGCTGACTTGCGGTTTAACTTCATTCATGTCTAATTTTATTCAACATGTAACGTAGTAAGAAATTTTGGCCAGTGGTCATATTTCTGCAAGATACAACTTTATGTACGTGAAACTACGCAATACAGTGTAGCTCTCCAATGAGGGAGCGAATCTACTAGTGCTTTATTAGTTCTGAGTCGGATAACTTGCTGAATGATAAATCTGCTCCTTGATTATTATTTAAAAAAAGGAAAGAGATAAGATATGGAAGCATTACATAGCCATATTAACAAACCAGCTTCTCTCTGCCTCCAAAATAAGTATAAGACCATTTTGCTCACTGGATTTTGAGTTGGCAAACGAAATAATACCAAAAAATGATCTTTTCTAAATGAATCTGCTTTGCTTTGCCTCTTACAACTAAATCCTTGCACCAGTTCCCTTTGAATTTATTTTGTTTGCACCGGATGGTGTGGCCAAACAGATTGTGGAACGTATTTTGCCAGTAACCTTTTTAAAGAAATGTATCTCTGTGAAGATGGCTTCACTGCTTATGTTTTGTTGCAAGTACATAAATCAAATTATACTTTCTTTTCACTGGAAGAAATTGAGCAGTGCCTGGCAATTAATGGCTGACCTGAAACCTGTGGTATTTTTGCTAGGCATTAGGAATTTAACATTGATAGTTTAGTTCTTGCAGTTTACTGTATATTAATCCAGTTCCATTTCCTCTTCAGTGAGATGCAGGATTATTAGTGAGCTAATTTAAATCTCAAACTCAAAAGGTGAGGATTGTCTTCCTGTTTTTTAAAACAGTATCTAGTATAATGTGTATACTCTTTAAAAAGGTTTAAGATCTTTTTTCACAGATTAGTGACACAGGCTGATTTGCTCTATAAACAAGTTAGTTTTAAACTAGTATAAATGTGTCACTGTAACAGCTTCCATCTGTTTATCTAAACCCTGTTAAACTGCAGGTATATTTTTGTATGAACAGATAGCAGAAGGTTGATTTCTGCCTCTCCCCGCAACACAATTTTTCTTAAGAAAGCACTCTTGAATTCCACCAAATGCATCGGTTTATGGTCTGATTGCATAGCTACCCAAAAATTAACCATGTAACTGGAATATGTCATAACGGGCACTGAAATCAATGGATTTTACTGGATACTCGAAGGAAAAAACTCATGCATTGATCATTACCTGATCGTATAATGATTATCTAGTGATAGCATTTAGCATATAAACTAAGCTCATGATGTATCTCCCGTTAGGCTTACCTTTTAAGATGATACTACCAGTAAAATTCATCAGACTTTAAATTTAAACTGCACAGATTTGGTTAAACATTTACACGTGGTAGTACAAACTGTATTGGTTTATCAATACAAACCAAGTGGAACTCGTACCTCCCCCTTCTATTGTTGCTCACCATGTCTTAGAGTAAATTTTTTCCCCCTGCTCCTTCCTAAAGGTACCTACTTCTCACAAATATTTCATCGATGGCTCTTCTGTTAAACAGTGGATCTTAATTTATGAAATTCCTTTACCTCAAATAAGTGACAGCATACAGTATTTTCTGAAGTCTGAGTCAATTAGGTTGAAACTGTTAATCCCAAGTGGCTTCCTCTTCTTTGTATTTGGCTCTTATTCTGTGAAAATGCTGCTTGTCCATGAATATGATGTATGTTGAGACTGTAAAACCAAATGGAGAAAACTTGTTCAAAATAAAGCCTTTTTTTATAAGAAGCTGACAAAAATTATCCCTTTCCTTTAGATGAGATGCTGCTCTTTAAATGACTAATGAGGACATAGACTACAAGTTTAAAATTTGTAGCTCTTGAGTTATTTTTTGAGTGATTCTTTGCCTTCTGTTTTTTAGAGGTGGTGGAGCATGTCTTCAACTAAAAAAAAAAAAAACAGCCTCTCCATATTTACTTGATAAAGTTGAACTGTCAAAAAAGTGCAGCTTGCGGTTGGGATTTGGGGTTTTATTTTGGTTTTAAATTGGTAAGGGTTCTGGTTGAGAGATCCTGTAAGCTCTGTTGTGGTCTGTAGGGAAGAAGATGGCTCATTTTTGGCAGTATGGAGAAATTAATAATTGAAAGGGGTCATGGCTTTTTTAAAGATGATTCTTCCTAGTGTTGCATCACTCAAGATGCAAAACTTTCGGTGTCAGCAACTATGTCGATTGCTGCTGTTGTACAACAGCACCTTAAACTCCATGTACTGTCTTTAATATGTAGAAACGAAACTGCTTTCACAGTGCGGGGGGGGGAAATGCTAATTACTCAATTCTCCAAGTGCTTGTAACTGCTGAATCTGTGGCACCGAGTGCCCCAAAAACCCATCCTGTTCAGGAAAAGGCAGAGCTGAAAAATGGAACCGAGTTGGTGTGCGCTCCTTTCAGCTGGTAAACAAGTCATGCCTAATTGGCAAGGCTGTCATAGAAGAGAATATTTGTAGCTGTATTTGCCACGTATTGCAAGGATAAAGCTGAGCTGTAGTACTGTAGAGCACAATTTTACCTTGGAGTGCAGGAATTTCAATTTGGATAAAGTCAAAATTACAGCTAAATGTCTGTAGAATAAGTCAATGTATCTTCATGTTGAATTGATACATGACACATGCTAAAACTATGCACAAGTATTTCTGGATTCACCCGATTAGCCAATGTTACTTTTTTTGCAAATGTCTCCAAATTATTTTTCTTTTTGTGATATTAATTTTGTTAAATCCACACGTATGGAAAATGGAGCATGTCTGCTGAACTGTGCTGACAAGGAAGGGTTGTCAGCAAGGTGCTCATCAGTCGTAAACATCTAATCCTCTGTTAATGCATGTCATGTTTTATTTTTTATAAAATCGTAACCTCCAGCAAGAAGAACCGCTAGTGAAAGGACACTGCTGTCCTATATCGCAGTTCCGTAGTATTTCCACAGAAGCACTTCAGAAGGTCCCTGTTCTCCTGCTGGAGGCTGCTGCCAAAACTGGTGTTAATTCAATTGATCTAAACTCTCAGCTGTACATTGGGTATGTGGAAGCGTCTTGAACGGCAGAGGCTAACCCAGCAGGCCTGCTGCCAGCAGACGAGCTCTAGTAGCCAGTGGCTTCGCTTCCCCCTCCTGCTTGGCCTGTGTTGTTCCTAGCTGTTAAGATGTGAATGCCGGCTTCTCAGCAGTGCTCCGATGATCACCGCGTGCCGTACTTTTTCAGAGTTCCAGTTTTGGTGTTTGCTTGCTAACTGGGTCGTTTTGACAGGACCAAAGGCAAGTGATGTGCATTCGTACATCAGCAGAGGAGAAGGGTGATAACCTCTGATGAAATGGCAGGATGCTGGGGACAGTAACTTCTCAGGTGAGCCGCAGCCCTGTAGCAGCTTGTGTGAGTATGGTTGCCGCTTTGATCCAAATACCTTAGAAATATTCAGAGCACTGCAAGCTGTTCCCGCTAGGAAGAGAAAATGAATATGCTTCAGGTATTCCTTTGGGACAGCCCCATGCATTTTTGACAAAGGTAAGCAGAGCGCTGTTCTCCTGAGCACTGTGAGATCCGTGCGCTGTAGGCCACTTCCAGCTCCCCGTTTCCAGAACTGCCTGTTTAGCTAGGTCTGCAGGAGAAAAAAAATAGTTTTTGCTCTGGTTTCAGTGAGCCGCAAGATGAAGTGGGGAGAAGGGCAGCAGAGAGCGATCAAGCCGATCTCTCTGCTGCTTCAATTTTCCACAGAAAAGCCTTTAGTCTGACAGGCTTAGGCCTGCTGTGCTTTTGCCAGCACCTGGCTTGATTTCAAGTCTTGCTACCTATGCAGCTGAGTATTGGACATGTTTCAGATCGTTCTCGCTTTCTTCCTGGAGCTGTCTGGGATTCCGGCCAGGCGCAGGGAGGGAGCTGCTCCCCTGCAGCCTGCACCCCAGCCTGCCTCCTGGGCCGAGAGCCCTCGGGGAGCAACCGCTCCTCCCTTTTCTACCCACCCGTTTCCCTTCAGAGCTAGTACTGCTCCTGTCTAAGAAAGGTAAGAGAGAGCCTCATTGATCAAAACAATCCTGCATCTTCCATCGTTTCCTTTTCCTTCCTTCTTCCTCTAGCGAACACGGAGGATGCTTCCTCTTGTGTTGGTGGAGAAAAGAAGTCCTGGAGCTGCAGGAGGAAGAGACTTGGTAAAGGGACTCTGAGGCAGGACAGGAAGAACTGATTTCTGGACGAAGCACAAGTGGAAAGTGAGCAGAGCGCTGTACTGACTTTGGGATCGCATGCAGTGTTAATTGTCGGGTTGCTGGCTGGGGGTGGGCAAGGGGAATTCCAAAGTCAAAGACAGGCCAAAATCTGACGAAGTAATAGTCTCATTAATGTCTGGGCCAGTCTTTTCATTCTGGCGGGGTTTGACTCATCATTTTTGACCCTTTCATGTGACTGTGTTAACCACAAAAAAGAGACATTTAATT